CCAGCTCCTGTATGCATAAATAAATATTTTTTAAAAAATGACCACTTGTGATGAACATTTTGAAGAAAACAGAATGTTAAATATGACTGCTTATGAGGTTTATAGTTGTAAAATTTCAGTATCTATATACTTAGTTACTTAATCTTTTCAATAAGATACAATAAGCATATCAGCTATTTGAAAATATCTTCTATACTTGGGAATCTAAAAAAAAAAATAAATTGACAGAACTGAATTAGGAGGAATACAATGTCAAGAATCACAATGTAGTATAGAGCTTTGGAAAGGTCTACATGTTTAATTTGCCTACACTTCTCTTGAAACATAGATTCAGTTTATTCATGAATACTAGGTCTTTTGTTAATTTTGGATGGATGGATATTTGCTTCACTGGAAATTATTTACCCCAACCATATCCATTTATTAATCTGAACCAGACTGGAGCTGTTTCTCTGTGGATTTTCTTAACATCTCAGAAGCTAAACCTAATGTAATATAATAACTAGTCTTATACATGAAAGAACTTTGAGTTTCTTATAGCAAGAAGAAAAAACTTAGGGTGGAAGCCCTCCAGGAAAATATATGAATGTCCTAGACTAGGATATTCAAAGAGGTTAGAAGGGAGATAGCTCATTTATTAAAATAAATATATAATATGACATATTTTTAAATTGTTTGAATACTAACATGTGATAATTTAGCTTGGGAAAATACATAGGGATATTTCCTAATGCTTTTTTTTGCTCTAGCACTGAAGCTCTAGGGCTAAGAGTCTTCTACATGTCAGGAGCTATTCCCTGCTAGGACACAATAGGCAGTCCCTTCTGCCAGGAGCACAAATGGTCTTGGAAAGAGCAGATTTGAGAAGAAAATGCCCTCATAAATAACCTCAGAAAGACATCAAGAAGTGGCAAAAAATTATGTGTACTTGGAACGCTCTCTATGCTAGTGTTTATTTATTCAAAACTAATTCTCCTAACCTTTTCTCTGTGATTTGAAAGGTCTGCCAATCTTGAGCCATTATTTCTACTTGCTAGAGGGTCTATTCTATGGATAGATGTGATCAAAACCTAAACCTCCACAAAAGTCCATGGAAGTTGTCTTAAGATACTTAGGGCCTCAGATTTTACCCAGGGCATAGTACTTTCTCCTAAGTTACACTTTCTGTTTGATCCTGGGGGGAGGTTTCTTGGACATGTGCATGATTATAATTCTATTTGATTTCAGAGATTGATGGAATGTTCTTATGAATGCTGCTGCATGACCTTCTTCACATATGGGAGAGACTTAAATGACTTCAGAGCCAAGGCTTCATTCTGAGAAACATCTATGTTTTGTTTCCATGGCAAGGGCATTTAGAACAGAAAAGGAATTATTTTACATGTGGAAAATATTAATGACAGAAATTATTTGTGTAACAGGGCTGGAATCATATTTTCCCTTGATTTAGCAGACACTTTTTTTTTTCTTTTGTTTTTTGACCACCTTTTCTGCAAACCCTTTGATGGAAGAAAATCCAACCATTAGAGCAACAAAATGGGATTGTGGTTTATGAGAGGCACCATTCATAAATTCAAAGACATAGGCAGACCCTATCTAGAAACTCTCATAGTATCTTTGCAAATATTACAGACCTGAATGTTTCTATTTTAAAGTAAAGGAGGAGACAGAATATTTGAAAATTGCACAATTAGCGTTACTGGCTTCTTTCTCCCTAGTGATTCTTCTTTTCCTGCACTTACAGATGAACATTATAACCAAGTAGAAATTCTCCTCTCTATACACTAGGCGGGTGAAAAGATGCAATTTCTATGTGTTTCAAAAGTAAATCATTTGTCTCAGCCTGACAATCCAGAAAAGTTGCTAATTTTCCTAAAAGGATAAAAATTATATGGTGAAGAGCAGAATGGCTGAATTTGAATTCCACCTCTGTCTCTTATTACCTATGTAGACTTGGCTGCGTTACTTAAACTCTCTGTGCCTTATATTATAGTGTAATCTGTATAAATGGAGTAAAAATAGATTCTGCTTCCAATGGTGGCATAATATGAAATGAGTATTATAACTGTATTTGCACATAGATACTATCCAATAAATATGTTATTTATTAATTTTATGTCTTCCCTTTTTTTAGATTTATTTTATTTATTTATGCATACAAGAGCTGGGGTGTAGGCCAGAGATGCAGTGGGGTGAAAGGATTCACCAGAAATAGAGTGGGAGCAGAACAGGCAGATTGACTGAAATACACTGCTGAGGGGAGCAGTGGGCGAGTCAGGAGAGGTCTGCTGCACCATGTGGGTCAGTTTTCCCTGGCCTGGAGTTGAACTCGTGCTGCAGTGGCTGTGGATAGCTTCATATTGCTTAAACTTAACCCCTTCCTCCACCAGGGAGGCCCTAAGTTATGTATTACTATGGAAGTTTCAAGGTAAATATTCCTTCCTATGCCCAGTAGAACACAAAATTACTGAATGTTAAAATTTTTTGGCACAAATTTGGCAATATCTTAAAATATTTTGTAGTAAAATAATAGGTGAAAAAATTTATTATAAATCATAACATTATTTCCAAATTGAGGGGGGAAATCATGTATTAAGTCTTCAAGATTTAGAAGTATATTCTGAAAGGCAAGATGAAATTTCTCCCTGAAACCTTACTTTTAAGACACACGTTAATAAATACGTAAAATGAGAAAAAATAGTTAATGGTTAATGGGACATGTCTCTCTGGGTGACAGATCCAAAGAGAGTAAAAATTAGTAATTGTCTTGAAGAATCAATAGTCCATTAAATTTATAACCATAACCCAGAAATGTAGCTAGAAGAAAAGGGGGAAGTTCACTACCTTCCAATAAATTCCAACATTCTCTGGAAATTTACATCTTTTAAATTGGCAAAGAACTTTGTGTTGACATCTAACAATGAATTTTGTGGTTAAAGCCTGAGCAGTAATTTTAGCTCATGTATCTTTTTTTTTTTTTTTTTTTTAAGATTTATTTATTTATTTATTTATTTATAAAAGCACTGGGTACAGTCAGAAGCGCAGGGGAGTGAGAGAAGTCACCAGAGCCAGAGCGGGGAGCAGAACAGACAGACTGACAAAATACAGTGCTGAGGGGAGCAGCGGGTGTGTCAGGAGAGGTCTGCACACCATGTGGGACCCTCGCCAGCCGGTGGGGATTGAACCGGCGCTGCAGAGGCTGCGGGCAGCTTTGCAGCCCAGCGCTCTACTGCTGCGCCACCTGAGAGGCCCCTTAGCTCATGTATCTTTTAACACAACTTTTGAAAGTGTTTTTTAAATGGGGGCCATAGGAAAATTGATTGAGGTCTCAAATATTTTTGGGGAAATGACTCCATTTATTATTATTATGTTGTGAAAGTCAAGCATGAAGTGTTATTTCAGAAAATAACCCTCCAAAACATGTAACTCATTATTTTTACTAAAAATTAATGCATTGTTGGAATTAAAAGTTGAACTTTGTTGAAATAAATTCACTTTAAAAAACAGAAGTAGTAATTTTATTAGACATAAAGAGAAGTGGTGAAATGATGGCACCTTTAAGGACTACCCCCAAATACCACTACAGTTACCCCAAGCTGCAAACCCTGCTCTCACCCCAGCACCTCCACAGATGCCCTCCAGAGCTGGCCAGGCTGGCTGTGCCTCTGTCTAAGGCAAATAATTTGATGTCCAGATTTGATTTCTTATTTTACAAATGAAAATTTTGAGCCAGTATGATCTCTAACATTCCTTGTGGCCCAAACATCCTATCATTCTATCACTATTGTATATCCCAACCCTGATACCTGATGTTAAGCCCCTTTCATAAACATGTGAAAATTATCACCTTAGGTAGCCAAAGAATCCTAGAAATTAGTGTGGACTGTCAAAAAAAATTTTTTTTTTTACATCTCTGCAGGATTTTACCTACAGTCAAAACGATTTCATGAAAACTTAAAGGCAGTATTCAAAGGGGTCATTTCTTTTCCCCCAGAGAGAATTAATCATAGGTGAGGACTGGAAAAGGCAGTTTCCCCATAAGTGTTAGAACATTCCTGCTGAGAAGCCCATTCTATTTTAATTTGCCAATTAAAAGTAGCCTGGGAAATCACACATTGTCATTATCTCATTAAAAATACTATGCTTGTCACTTCCTTTACTTGGGAAAAAGAACACTCAGGTAGCTCTACTGCTCCCCACAACTTAAATTTAATAGCAACCTTAAAAGATTAGTTTTATCTGGGGCCCATTGAGGACTGCACCTCCTGCTGTTATTACTGCCACAAATTCCACTGAGATCCAGGAACTAACTCAACACCATTTATTGGATATTTACTATATCTGTGAAATTTACTAAGCCCCATTGAGAAGTTAAAAAGGTACTAAAGAGCTTGTTTGCAGGAAATAAATGGCCACTGTCATTGGAAAATGAAACCTTATGAAGGGCCCTTTAAAGATCCCTTTTATAGTAACTTTAGATTCTATTTGATTATGGTCCAATCTTCCCTCATCTGTCTTGCCTGGTTATCTGTGGAATGACATTACAAGCAAGATGTTAACGGTTGAGATAACACCCCTGTAATAAAAAAAACAAACAACTTGATTTTTGTTGGTATAACAGTTATAAATTTCCTTATAAACTGTATATCGAGTAGGCATTACATGTGAGAAATAGAGCGATTTGAACTGTTACAATTATTTTTCTGTTTCTAGTGAGTTATAAAATGTCTAAAGAGCAAAAGTAAGGAGGAAACAATGCAGAGATTGTGGGTAATGACATATTTAATAATGCCCATTTGAATATATAATAAATAATAAAGCTATGTCACTGGCTTCCTGCAGGTACTTGAATATGATTCTGTATATATACCTGTAGGCTATATATTTCCAAATATACATATTCAAAGAGTCCATTCACTTCTGGCTGATAAAAACAGACAATACCATAGCTTACTAGGGGAAAGGTACTTGGCCTGTCTTTAACCAAAGAGTATGATTACCTTATTGCCTTGAAATCCCTTCGGCCCTGGATCCCCTGGAGGTCCACTAATGCCCTGCTCCAAGATGAAAACCAATAATTAGTTGTATGTATAAAAGGCCAACCCAGAGTGAAATGAATGCATTAAAGTCCCTAGAGATCCTAGTGTTAGAAGTCAGACTATATAACTCAGAGTTAAGTTGGGGTTACATGTGATTGAGTAAAGAAATTAGATAAAATCTCTTGAGTCAAACATTTTTTTTTTAAGTACTTAAGCTAAAAGCAAGCATTTATTCCTGAGGCATTTGTTTTCCAAATCTGTGTTTTCAGTCTTATAACTGGTGTGGACCTTTTTTTTTTTTTAATGTTTTTGCCTATTAAACAACTTTTTTTTTTTAATCGCAGGCATGTGTAACTGAAAATTGGAACTTCCAATGACCTTGTATTAAAAACCAGCGTTACTGCCCTGCGCTGACACAATCCCTGGTCAAAGCAAAGAGTTGATGCTTAACTAGATACTGTCCAGAATCTTCAGTAAAGGTATGATTTCCAGTAGACTTTTGAAATTCTGAAATTAACTCCTCCTGCATACATACACACTCCCCCCATTACAACTTGAGAACAGGCAAGTCCCCATATTGGGAAAAAATGGATCCAAATTATTTTCTGAAATCCATGGGATATATCTAAATTGAATAACTGTCTTAAAAACCATTCCTTGTTATTGAGCATTAACTACTTATAGTGACAGAACAATACAAATATTAAAAATTGGATTAAATACATACATCTCAATTATATGACTTGCAATACAAAAATAATTACATACTATTTTTAATTACTTTGACTTTATCTGTCCTCCTAGACTCTAATTTTTTAACTTTTATCCTTTTAGCTACTCACCAAATAGACCTGCTGGTGCCTATCTTTAGGGAATCTGAATTAGTTATGCAAAACATTAAGGCAGTGATTTCCTCCTTACCTGAAGTTTTGCCTCCTTACCTGAAGTCCTCTGGGTCCCTTTGGTCCATATGGCCCTAAGGATCCCTGTGAAATAAAATTAATTTTTAAGTCCCTCTAAACACGCATCTTCAAAGGGCAATAATTTTAGGTGGAAGAGCAGGGAATATGTTCTCTGCAATGGCCAGTATTCCCAAATCATCCAAATATCGAAGTCAACAAATGCATAGTTAAGGAAATGATCCTAATTAATCAGCACACTGAGTGTCCAACTTCCTTTAGTAAACAAACTGCATGAAAAAATATTTTAGAAATAAGTCTTTTAGATTAAAATTTCCTTCTTAAGATACCTTAGAAAGCAGTAAACACGGTGGAATATTATTTCCTTCTAATAAAACAATGGCAGTTAAATTAACAATTGAGTTTCCATGATGACCAGATCATTCATTAGCTCATCTTCAAGACATGGAACTTGGCAACACCACTTACATATAACATTCTTCTAATACACCTTCAATATGTCCCTTAACTGGGAAACCCTTTAAAGTTCAGTTTTTATGTGCATATAATATAATCGTCCCTCTTTTCTTATATATTTGACCTTCTGTTGTATCAAAATATTTCCCATGTCATTAAAAAGTTTTGGTAAGTGGAATAATATTCAAGACTCATTCTTTCTGCTCCATGCTTAAGGATAATTTCCGCTAAAAGGATGATTGGATAGAGACTGTAACCATCTTTAAGGCTCTCAATCTCCTTTGTTTCTTATACCTTATAGGGAAAGAGAACTGAAAAGTTCCTCTGTCGAGTTTGTTCAAATTTCCATTTTCCCTGCCTTAGTAGAGTGAGCACATATTCTTATAGAATCCCTGTGATTTCAGTGTTTGCTAATTTGATAGGTAAAATAATGTTTTAATTTTACCTACATGCCAATGTGCTCACACATTTTTCCTTTTTCTTTTTTTTTAAAGATTTATTAATTTATGCATACTAGAACTAGGGTACAGGCCAGAGATGTGGCAGGTGAGAGGATTCACTAGAGACAGAATGGGGAACAGAACAGGCAGACTGACTGAAACACACTGCTGAGGGGAGCAGCGGGCAAGACAGGAGAGGTCTGCTGTGACATGTAGGTAGCTCCCTGGCTGGCCGGGGATCAAACTCATGCTGCAGAGGCTGCAGATAGCTTCACAGTGCTGTGCTTAAACCCTTGTGCCCTGAGGGAGGCCCTCACACATTTTCCTCATTTATTAGTTGCTTATATTTCCGATTATATGTCTCCTCATGTTTTTTGTATGTTTTACTTAAACTTAAGGGAACTCATTGTCAAGGACACTTTATTTCATTGACTGTAGACATACACTTTTCAAATTTTTTGCATCTCTAATATTGGAATACACCTGACAATCACTTGCCTTGTATTTATAATTTGAAGTATTTTTTCTTTCCTTTAGGCACAGAAAAATTGTAGGGCATTTAACAAACCTGGGTTTCTTCGGTGAAATGTGATATTAACTGTCTATCATTTTTTCAGTTGTTTGATTTTCATTTTTGTTCTCATCTGTATGTCCCATTTTCATTTATACTCCCAAGAATTCACTCATTATCACATTTTTTCCAGAGTTAATTGCCAAGCCTACATTTTTTTCAAAGCCTCCTGACCTTTAACTCGATAGCAGTTGAAAAGCTTTCAGAAAGTCTCAAGCTGTTTAAAGTGCTTAGTTACATGGGTCAATGTCATTATTTTACTGTCTTTTCACCTTCTGCTTCACTTTCTCTCCTTGACTCTCCCATAATTAAAACATAGATATTTAAAGAGTTTAATATCTTGGTGGCATTTTGCTGTTGGTTCTTACTTGTCAAGAAAACTATTTTTATTCCATACTTTTTTGGATTTTTTAATCTTTATGTTTCATATGTACTTTTTTCCCTACTTCTAATTCTTCAAGGACCCCCTCTGAATGCTTAATATTACTTCCAATTTAAGTACTTCATATTTTTTAACTAAAATACCCACCCAATTTGCTGCATTTTCAAAACTGTAAATCCCCATTTCGGTCTAGTTCTGCCATATTGTTTACAACTAGTTCATTAACTTATTTCACAGAATTTCTTGGAAAAGTGCCTGATTCAGTGTTTCCACCTGGAAAGCAATTTTACTTAGACCAGACTGGAACTTGAATCGGTTAAATTATTCTTTTCACCATTACATTCGGTAGACCTGGTCTCAAAGGTTAAGGTATTACAAAATAAAGTCTTAACGGTCCATAAGTAAGGCATGTGGGAGCTCCATTTGCTAAAATTAGGTATGGCTTTGTTTTCTGTTTCATGGTTTACAGATGTGAAAATTGAGTCAATGACTCTCCAACTCCAGTAGTGAGATCAACATGGTGCCTCCCAGGAATTTCTTCTTATGGAAACTCAACCCAAAAGAAATCACAGCTGTTAACATTTTAAAAACATGGTCCTTACTTTGTCACCTTTTATTCCTGGTTTACCACATTCTCCACGTTCACCCTAAAAAATAAATAGATAGAACATTTGCTGTCATTCAGTGTTAGGATATTTAAGATACCCAGAAGACTCTTATGACATAAGCACTCTGATGACATATATACAATTTTATCCTCAGTCCTGTGGGTTGTACAGACCCACAGGAAATGCAAATTTTTGAAATCTCAATTATTTTCTTCCTATGAATCATAGAACCAAATCAATGATACCACCTAAAGAGGTTTAGCATTTTTCAAGAGATGGATGAGATTAAATGGAAAAAAAACAAGATTTATTCACCATCTACCATAAATTAGAGGCTCTTGGCGTATCATTTAATGAAATCCATATTACAGCCCAATGAGATCAATTTTCTAATTCTTATTTTATAGTGTAGAAATTTTAAGCTCAATAAGATAACTTTCATCAGTCATATAGCTGTAAGTAGAAGAATCAAGGTCTGAAACCAGGTCTACTCAGAATCAGAGTTCTGTTTTTTCCACAACGTCACGCTCTAGCCTCACTATTGACCTTGATCACTTGGTAGAATTGGCCTAGAGTAGTGTGAAAGGTTCTAAGTCTGTGTCATGACTTGGTGGGGAAAGGAGCCATGATGAATGAATGAGATCTTCTCTGAGTGAGAGCAGGGCATGGTGGCAAGAGTGCTATGTCTTTTCCATCATCACATTATTTTGACCCTCCTTTCTGAAATATTAATGAAGAAAAACTAACATCTGAATGATACTTTACAGTTTATTAATTATATTTTATAGACATTATTTCAGTTAATATGACTTTAACTGTGATAGATGGTATTAACCCAATTTTACATATTGCAAATTTGTGATTCAAATAAGTTAAGTAACTTGCTCAAGTCAAATTGGGATCTCTGAACACTAAGCCATTTTATCAGGCTTCTAAGATTCTAATAATTGGAACTAAAAAAGTCAATTAGAAAAATGACCATAGTTAGCATTTCCAAAGTACTTTGCATAGCTATTTGTTCTGAGCCTCAACTTAGTTCTTTTTTTTTTTTAAGATAAGAAAACTCATTTGAAGAGGTTAAATGAATTACTTAAATGTATGTGCTACTACTAATCAGTTTCCTTACTTTTAGTTTCTGCTTCTGTTGCTGCTTTATTAGCTCGGTGTTGATCTGGGGCATACTAGTCAAAGTGCCATCACACAATGACATAAGGATTGTCAATCAATGTACTGCTTCCTTCATGGAGGAACTCTTACTATGAAACAGTAAGTGTTAGTTGAAATACCAGTGTATGTAGTGATATTAGTGGACTAGTATTTTTATATGATGTTTATCTTCTCACAAAATAGCAACAAAAAGTTCACATAGTGACAGGTAGCCTGCAAACCACACTTTGAATAACTCTGCTCCCAGAGACATTACAGTTGTAACTACCAATTATGGATGCAGATTATGTGTCAAAGTCTTTACATTGTTGTGAATTCCCACAACAACTTTGCAAAATATGTATTTCTGTAAACGATAAGGAAAACGAAGCTCAGAGAGATTAAGAAGTCAACCAGTGACCAAAAGCTCAAATCTGTTAAATTTCCAAATCAATGTTCTTTTCTTTTTTTTCAAGATTTTACTTATTTATTTTTATGTAGAAGAACTGGGGTTGAGGCAAGAGATGCGTGGCGGCGGGGGGGGGGGGTTGAGAAGATTCACCAGAGACAGAGTGGGGACCAGAACAGGCGGATCCACTGAAACACACAGACAGGAGAGGTCTGCTGGGCCATGTAGGTTAGCACAGGCTACAACTCAGGCTAGAACTCAGGCTGCCGCTGTGGCTGTGGTAGTGCTGAGACTTAACCCCTCGGTCACCAGGGAGACCCCTAAGTCCATGTTCTTCCTCAGTTAGCCACAGCTCAACAAGGCACACTGCCGTAGTTGACAAATTATACTAACCTGACATTTCTGCCTAAGGTACAGTAGGGAATATTGCTGGCATTGGGAGCAGGGAAGGTGGGGTGGGAATACAATTCTTAAAACGAGCTATGCCTGTGTTCAAAAGTCATTTTTTCTCTCTACATTATATTATGAGTCAAAATGACCCAGGAAAAACTGAGCTTCTCTTCAGAACTAGTATTTCTAAATGCAAATAGATTCTTGAAGAATCTATTAGAAAGCAATTAATTTTATAACATTGGATGAGAATCAAATGAGTCAGCCACCAAACCATAAAACAGAAAAGTAACATAAATATGCTCAAAATTCTTCTGGATAGAATTCACATTCCATTTGTCCAAACAGATTTATTAGCTATAGGGTCCTGAGGAACAGCATTTGTTTGAGGGACAGATTTCCATCAATGAAAATATTGTGCTCATGTATTTGCCTCTGCAAAGGCATTTTCTCATTAATTCCTGTAGAATGGCCACAGTTACACAGTTCTAGTTTCAGAAAGCAATGAACAGATTAGCTCTGTTCCCAGCTTCTGATGTGAAAGTCTGATTTGAATGTGGATAGTTTACAATTACTTAGCTCTGCAACTTTTATTTTCCAAATGAGAGGAACTCTTCCAGTGAATCTATAATGCCCCAGAAGGTTAAATTATTTATCAATCAATCTACCAATCAATTTATCTGTATATATCCACACATATCTTTATACATTTATATATATGTATGAGCTTCCTGATGTTGGTAACTAGTTCATTGCATAAATCAAGATGGGGGCATGGATAATTTTTTTCAACTATATACATATATAACAGACAAGCCATTTTACAGGAATTTCAGGCTTGTTGGTCACGCAAAATGTGATCTATAAGAAAGGCGACAGACCTCTTGCCCTGAATACTCCTGAGTCCAAGGGAGGCCAGAGGAGACCCAGAATTGGATACTCTACAGTGTAGGTCTCTTACCAAGAACTGAGGGTTGTGCCACCTGCACAACAGAATGAATGATAGGGACATGACCTGGTTTCAGACAGAATATTTGATAATAGAACTGTGGCATTGACATGTTACACACTCATAGGTTCCTGAGTCCAACACCAGTTATTTTTATTTCTTTTGAATCAGTATTCTGACTTCTAATCTGCAAATAATCATAAACTAACCTACCAATCCATACATTTTGTTTATCAAATTTACTTCTCCTGCAACTTCTCAGATGTCTTCCTGCCTGAAATCAGTGGTTCTTCACTGCTTGCCTAGGATAAATGCTCTTTCCCCAGTGAGAGGATTCGGTCTCTAGGTTTCATAGGAAGTTATGAAGCAAGGGAGAAACCTAAGTGTGCTATTGCTGCATTTGTTTTTATATAGAAACTTTAAATCTGGATATTTGTATTGTCTGTTAAATTGGAGTTCTTTGATAAAAACAAATCATATTTGCAGAACCGAGAGGGGAATCTTTAAGGCTCCTTCCATATCTCATAACATACTCCTATATCTTCAGTTCTATCATTATTTTATGTTAACAGAATTAAGAGTATAATTAGGAATTAGGGAATCCAGACTTATAGAGATAAAGGAAAATAACTTTTATTAAGTATACAGATACATTTATATTTCTGTCTGTCTTTTCTGAAATTCTGGTCTATTTGTTGTTACCAACTTACCTTCTCACCCTTGTACCCAGGACTTCCCTAATTAAAAAAGAAAAGTAAAATATATTAGAAGATATATTTGGATAAAGTATTTGAAGTGTTTATTGATAAAAGTATAATAAAAACACCCCTGGAAAATAAAACAATATAAATGTAAGCGATTTCACTTCTCTTTGCACTTAGGGAAAAGAAAAGAACCTATTTATCCTTTTATTACCTTCTGTACCCAGTTTCAGATTTTTTTTCCAAACCCAATTTATTACCCTTTGACCCAAAGGCGAAGAAGAGATTTGATACTTAAACTCATCGTAGACATGAGGACCTCCAATGGTCTATTCAAAATTGTTTTGACTTTCAAACTATGAACTATCATGGCTGAGATTGTTTCACAGAGACTCACAGAGAAATTGGCTTTGAAAATGCTCTGAAATAATGACCTTTAGAGTGTACGTAAATATTTATATCCACTATGGTCCTCCTTTCAAATTCCGTCTAGAATATATAGCCTCAAGGAAATGAATGGTTCCTTTATCAACCGTAATGAGACAGTGACCTTTAAGTTACTATATTTTATCGCAGACTAAATAAGGGGCCAGTGCTTCTGCTCTTCTTTGGTGTCAACTTTCTGGAATCTTACACAGCCTTTTCCATTGTGTCGCTGCCCATATGCCCTTTAAGTAATACAATTCTTGAATGGACTAGGAAATTGCCAACTCTAAGAAACAAAGTCTTTTTGAAATAGAATTTCATGTCTTTTTCATACAACTATAGATTTCAAATATGAAAATAGAATTGCAAGACATTTTTAAAGTGAGCTGAAAAAATAATGGAATAAATAAGCTACTATGGCAATTATTTTGAGTCTCTGCATATGACTTTTTAACAAAAGGTAAAAAGGAAAACTTCAGGAGGGAAATAACACTTCTTTCCAAACAAGCAGTCATTTTGAAATAGAAGATAGAAGTAGAATTAGTCAAAAATATCGCTATAACTGCAATTTAATCCATTTTAGAAATATTTATTCACATGAATAGTCTAAATTTTACTATCATGCTTACAATTAATGGCTACATTTTAGACAGCTATTAAAACAATTCATGTTTGCAGTGCGAAAAAAATAGACTTCTAATCTTACAGATATGTAGGTACCCTCTACTCCTTGCTACACACAACCATATTTAAAATTGTCATTAGTTCATGTTTAAGAAGTTCATATTGTATTTAAGAAGTAATAAAGAGATACTACTTTTAATAGTAGACATTTTCCTCCATTTTTCTTTCTGAAATCCCTGTTCAATTTATTCTTTCTTTCCTTCCCTTCGTACCTCCCTTCCTGCCTTCCTGCCTTCCTCTCGTTCTTTTTCTCTCTCCCTCCCTTTCTTCCTTCCTTCCCGGATATCCTAATTACTATTTTTAAAACTTTCACATTTTAAAAATCCAAAATTACATTCATCAGTCTCTGCCAAATTTGTTTTTTGTCTTTTCTATTTCTGTTAATGGTACCATCATATCTCAAATCACATTCAGTCAATTAAAATTCTCTAATAGCGTCCCACTGTGCTTAGTTTTAAATCCACCCTCCCTACCATGGACTGAAGGCCCCATGTGATCTAACCCCTGCCTATCTCTACAGCCTTATCTTCCAACATGCTTCATCAACAAGGTTTAGCTTTCTTTCCATTTCTTGAGCCTGCCAAGTCTTCCCACTTCTTTTTCAGTCTGTAGTGTTGGCTTTAAAAAAGCTAATTTAGATTATGCAATTCTTAATGCTCTTGGAACTTTAATTTATTCTTTATTGAGAAAAACATAAGATGTAAAGTAAAATACTCTTCTTATTCAAGCCTCACAAATATCAAATCCTCTTCACTCCTGTTGAGCAAGTGTTTTCTCCTCACATTTCTAGATTCATGACACTATCTGTTTGATTGTCTCTGAGCCATCAAGAGCACATGGGGATACAAATCATTTTTGCACTTGCGCCGCAGGGCTCTGAATATCCTACAGCCTCTGAATATCCTGCACTTTCTTCCCAGGGATGCATTCCAGTTGTGTACATACCCCTGGGCCTTTTTCTCCAGGCTCCCCCTTTTGAGCATCACCCTGTGACAAACAAAAACTTGGTCAAAATTCCATAGTGCCATTGAGTGACTATTGCTCAATAAAATGCATTATTTAGAATTCTTAGCTTAATAGGTTGATCAACAGGGGAAAAAGTCTTTCCCCTTTATAGTTGACATTTTCACCATAAAACCAACAGCAGAAAGCAGCAGCTCAGATAGACTTTGCCCTGTGGAGTGAAGCCAGATGTGTAGGGTGCAGAATGCAGGTACATTTTCACAGTGTGGGCTCAGTCTTACAACCCAGTTTAACAACACAGCCATTGTTTTCAAATACAGCATTGTACTCACTCAAAGCCAGCCATTCTGGCTCTTCTCCAATGGCTTTGGAATGTTTTCCAAAATTTCCTCAAGAGTGATTGCTTGATTTCAGTCAGATTTAGCAAAATATATTATATGGCACAAAATTACAAACCAAGTAAGTGAAATGTGAACATAGAATTAAAATAGGAATTTACAAAAGCAAAAAGAAGTTAGGATGTCATCAATTCAAATGCAAATAAGGTGAGTGAGTATAGGATTTGTGTGTGTGTGTGTGTGTGTGTGTGTGTGTTGTAAAGCTACCCTTTTTTACACAAGCAAGTAATTGGCAAAAAAAACCTTTCATCTAATTTATATTTTTCATTACTTGATATTTTCTGAAAGGGAATGGGTGGGGGGTAAAATTTTAAATTTTTAAATGGCTCTTAAGTATTACCTAATTGTTTTCCAAAATGTTTGTGCAAAGTCACCTTTGCAGTAAAGAACAAACCAGTTTTGTTTTGTTTTTTTTAATAGAGGCATGTTTATTTGTTTATTTATTTGTTTGTTTGTTTGTTTGTTTATACAAGCACTGGGTACAGTCAGAAGCACCAGAGCCAGAGCGGGGAGCAGAGCAGGCAGAAGGACCGAAGTATACTGCTGAGGGGAGTAGCGGGCGGCAGGAGAGGTCTACGCGCCATGTGGGACCCTCCTCCGGTGGCCGGGGAGCAGCAGGGGATCGAACTGGTGCCGCAGAGGCCGCTGGCAGCTTCGCAACCCAGCGGTCAACCGCTGCGCCACCGGGGAGGCCCAAGAGCAAACCAGTTTTAACATGGTATCAGCTATCACTGCTACCTCAATATGTTGTGTTAACTGCTGTAGGAGAGGTTTTTTTTTTTTTCCTATTGAAACAGATAAAAACAAACTCTGTGAACTAGAAAACTACCCCACTTCCTCCTTCCTCATCCCTGCACCCCCCAAAACCCAAAAACTCTGGACACCAAAGTTTTTAAAATGTGACTGCTTCTAAAGTGTACCCCTTTTCAAGGCTTTTCTTGAGGTGCCAAGTATAGGCCTCTCTTCACCTTGCTTGATGTAGGGGTCAGTTAAGACCCTGTGAGCTTCCTGGAGGTCTATTACCATTACTCAAAGAATATAGATTGTTGGGGCAGGAAAGGGAAAAAAAGAATACAGACCATTCTGGTTAAGAATAGGTTCCTAAAGGCTAAGAGAAACTTCTTTCCTTGCCTAAATCCTTCTCCAAATGGAAGAAGAAGTCCTTAGAAAACATAGCTTTTAATGTCTCCAGTTGTAGGTTTATCAGTAAACAAGTTTCTCTTAAGAATCTTAGCTTTCATCTCAGAGGAAGGATGAGGTAAACCCCACCTTGTTTGTCTTGTGAAATCTCTTGCTTTCTTTCCTTGATGCCCCAGGTCCCTAAACACAGGATAAATATTCCTGGCCCTCTCTATTATTCTTTGGAATATGCAACCACGTAAACTCTCCAAACCCATGTTATTGATGGCTTAACCTGTCTGATGCTGTTTTGATTACTCACCCAGAGGGGCAGAGGGTGTTTTTTTTTTTACCCCCACATCGCTATTTAAATTTCATCATTATCTACTGAAATTAAATGTCTTTTTTATTTACTGGTTTTATTTCCTTTCTAAAAATTTGTTTGTGTCCTTTTAACCATTGTTTGACCATTTAATTATTAGAGGCTGGATATTTTCTCAACCATTTTTTATACATTTTTACATAATTATATCTGCTCATCACTCTTCTGTGATCCCTTTAATGGCTCTTAAATTTGAAACACCATCACTCGAACAATGATATGAATAAGTAATTAGAAAACATTAGTCTGGATTTTATTTTTATGGGTATACAAGGCAAAGAATTGAGGAAAAGTCAGAAGGTTAGTGAGTGAGAAATAATTTGGTGTTTTTCTGTTATTATTACAGGGCAGTTATCCATAAAGTAAGCCCATAAAAAACTCAAGTGCTAGTGTCAACATTTCACTAATGACTTTGGGCCACACTATTTAGCTACAATCTCTATTCAGTGTTGCTAGGTTTCCTAAACTTATTGACTGAAATGGTCATGCTACTCAAAATTTGTGAATGCAAGCCAGAGAGTTAATGCAGGAAGCAAATATCCCTTAGCCTTCACAAAAATCATCAGATTTTTGCCATTGATATATAATACAATGTTCTTTGTTCTATTATTTGTTCTTTAAATAAATCTCAAAGGAGATAAATTGGTTTAAAGAAAAACTGTTCATTCATTTACCGGGTTTCCTTTTGGTCCTCGCTCACCTTTAATACCTGGGTTTCCATGTGTACCCTGAAGGCAAAGAGGAAAAAAGGTGATATTAAGAAGACATTCTATTTAGTTTCTTATTATTTCTGATCAGTTTCAGCCCATAAAATGAGAGACGGTTGAAAACAACAACTTTGTCTACCAAGCAGAGATTCAACTCTCCTTTACTGCATACCAGGTAGCCTGCACTGTCTTAAACAGGCAGAATCTTGAATCTCTGGATTTTCTCAAAAAAGAATCTCTCTCTCTCTCTCTCTCTCTCAATTTCCCCCACCTCCCCCAGGCAGTCAATCTCAGAAGATGGCAAAAGAGAGTTCTCCAATACTATTCCAGAAAGGCACTTTCTTTTCCAATTCATGAACCACCAAAAGCTCAGTTTTCTAAGAAATTCTTGCAGGGGCATTCAATAAATGTTAAATAACATTGTTCTTGGCTATCACTATTATAACATGGTATAGTAATCATCTTTAAAATATTGAGTAATTAAAATTGTCAGATTAGCTCAGTAATTATAAATTTTCTTAGTGTTCATTCTAAACCATAACTATATATCCCAAGTAAACCTTCCACTGGCAATCTTTTGATATAATAAGCATAAGCTAAGACTTTATAGGAAAGTTCATTCAAACCTTTGCTTTGGTCAAAGTCAGTTACCACATTATCATATAATGTATATAATTTAGGTATTCTGAAGGGAAAAAAAGACAAACATTCCCACTTTCTAATGCTTTGGTTGATAGAATTTGTTGAAAAAGCATAGGCTTTGGACCTTAAGTTAAAATATGTTATTGTCTAAGTAATTCATGTACACATTTCCCTACCTGTCCTCAAATATCTCCACTGGGCTTCTGGTCTCTGAGGTTTAGCATCATGTGGCTTGATACCAAATGAGCAGCATAGACATGTCTGATGACAGGAGTCAGAGAAATGTTCAACATCTCCCATCACTGTGATGTCATTTCAAATACTTTTTCAGTACAGACATGGCTTCTACCAGCTAGTTGGCCAGAATATTAAGGAAGCTCTCCTTTGGGATTATTTTATCTAAGTATTGAATCACCTTAATAAATCCTGCTATTTATCATAGGTTGCCAAGTGGTTACTTCCATTTCACAGAATTTATGCTAATACCCAAAGCTTCCTGACCAACTTCCTCCCCACGAGGCCACACAGTGTTGCACCTGGATACATGTGAAGACAGGTACCTTCCGGAGACTTCTATGGCACTTGTTTCTAGGTGGAATAGGATAAAGCTTTGCCTAAATCACTGAGGATTTGCATGATCTTTTTTTTATATTTTTCACTCTGGTACTGAGGAATTCCAACCACAATTGTTACATCGGAAGCAATCATAAAATATCCTTTGAGGGAACAACTTCGTCATTTTAAGTGAAATCTGCCCTCAGTTCAGATCAGTAAATTCCCAGGCTTATTTCTAAGGACAAACTGTATCCCTTTAGGAATAAAGGAAAGAAACAGCATTTCTGTTTTTGCTGCTATTTGCACACAACTGCTTTTTAACAGCACAAAGTCAACCCTGTGTTTTCAAATGTGATTCGAGCTGTCATCGCTGGGACTCCTGACTTAACCTTAAGTTCAGAGTGGAAATATACTCACAGGAAGTCCTGGATCTCCTGGATCCCCCTTCTCACATTCACAAATCTTTTGTTCACACTGGATGGATAATTAAATACAATATTAGCACATAGTGAAGTAACATTTCAAATATTTCCCAGTACATAACTAAATGAAACACTTCCTTAAAGAAATTGTGCCTTGCAAATTTTTGGAGATTTTACTCTAGTCTTAAATTCTTCTAGGAAAATTCAGATTGTGTAAGAGCCAGCCAATAAAGTGTTATTTAATGTTGCTATGGTTAAACAAAATAAATCTATCTCACACACACAAACACACACACCTATAGCACTATATATACACGTGTAAATATATTCTATCATATTTGTTTATATATCAGATCATATGTGTCACATATATAACATCTAGTTGCAGATTTTAAGGAGAAATAAACATTTTCAGTGAACTTTTGGCATTTCTGCTGCTTCTGTATAACACATCAGTACTCCATAATAAACAAGTATCAAGTGTTCCTTTACTCATAAAAGGAAAATATTTGACTTATACCATATTTTTATTGATTCTAAAAATGCACATGTCTCCTTTTAACATCTTTGAAATCAGAATGAGTCTTTTATGAATCAGGGTCAGTCATGATGAGGTTGCTATTTTCTGCACACGTACTTCAAAACTTACAAAATGAAATGGAAGGAAGCTCCAGTGATACTATTAGAACACTCTTAAGAAATGCTGCATTACTGCTGTTTTTGAAGGCTAAGAGGCTGGTATTTTGTAGAAAAAACAGGGTATCAATGACTGAGACAAAAAGTGATTCAGAAGCCTTAAACTCTGAATGTGAATTTTTAGGAAGAAAAAAATTTAGCTTGCTTATATTTTCCCTTAAAAGTATGCATACAGTATGCACGGGGCCTCCCTGGTGGCCTTGGGGTACGTCTCAGTGCTATCACCACTATCTCCTGCCAGAGAGCTAACCCACATCTGGCACAGCATTTACATTGCTCCCCTTAGCAGTGTGTTTCAGTAAATCCACCTGGTCTGCTCCTCACTCTGTCTCTGGTGAATCCTCTCACCCCCCATCCCTCCATACCTCTGGCCTATATCCCAGCTCTTCTACACAAAAATGAAGAAAAATTTTAAAAATATAGGCACAAAAGTGATACATAATTTTAAAATCTATTGCTAAATTAAAGGACTCTTTCCATAATTTTTATAAAATTAAAAATTGTAATTGATAAGAATGTTCTTTATCATAGTTTAATTGACAGGTTTTTTTCCCCTTAATGTCACATAAAATAATGGCCTATATATAGCTGACTATGTATAATTCAGTGAAACATGATGCTTCACAAGATGTGGTTAACTTGTTATTTTATTCAGTACTACTTCTAAATTCATGATGCCAAATAAGCAGTTTATCAAACAATGTTCAAATATTCCAACTCTTTGCTTTAAGAAATGCTGGGGAGGCCTCAGCAAGCTTATGGCCATTTATTGTGCTAAGTACTATGCAAACATGTTTGCCAGGTTGCTTTTGTCACTTGGTCTGACTGCTAACATCAAGGAAGACTAAGCTGAAAGGCAATCTGCAAATAGTAGGAGGAAACTCTGGACTGTCTCTTAGCCAGGAACATTTCTAACCTTGGGCAATACCAGGCACATCCCCCAAAGTAGCCAACCCCCCAGGAGACATGCTTAGAATATAGGAAGCATAATAGAGTAAGCCAAAGTGATGCCATTTGATTATTTTTGAGTTCTAAAATCACTATACATCATATGAAATATTTCCTGCTTTTTCTAAATTTCCCAACCTGTAGTGAATGTTGTGATATGCAAGAGATCAATGGCTGCCTTAAATAGAATGGCTCCTTTGTAAAATAATGAAGCATTTTTATTTAGTCACAGCTTATCTTCTTATGTGAATACTAATGCTGATTTGATAATGTGAGCTTTTAGAGTAATTCATAATAATCAAAGCATGTGGTGCTTACCTTCTTTTCAAATAAGATATCCTAGGAGGAAAAAAAGAGAATGAAACATTAACTCAATTCATGTTTTTGCTTCCTGCTTCTTATTAGTCTTAATTATTCCCTATGGGATATGCAATTTCCAGGAAGAATAACAATTCAGCCTTTTTAACCTTGTAAAAGCAATAAAGCCTACCAGCCAACCACCCAACCAACACTCTAAGCCTTAGAATAATAAAAGAGGTAAAGGGTACTTAGATTAAAAATCCTTCTGTTTTCTAGGAACTCCACTCATTGCATCCTATGCATTCTCTTTTGTTTCCTTTATCGGTTCTATAATTTCCATAAGTTGGCTACAAGCTTAATCAGTCATAATGAGAAATTTCTCCCTTTTACTAACAACGACTTAGTCAGAATACATAATTGTGTATTTTCTATTTTTCTATCACTATACATGTATGCATTTACTTATAAGCATCAAAACATTAATTTTAGAATCATAACTTCATGAAATATTAATGAGCCTTGGCAATAATCATTATCAATCTCTTATTTTGCAATAAGGAAACGGGAGCACAGTAACACAACTTGCCTGAGGTCACATGATTGGGCTAAGACACCTGACCAAGTTCAGTGCTGCTTCATGCTTACTAACACAGACATGAATTCACTGCAATATTTTTTAAAACCATTTTCAATGTACAACTTTAGAGAAGTTGGCCCAACAGCTAGGTCTCACTCCCCTACTTCAGATCAGTGGGGTATTTCTGAAAAATGCACTCATGGCCATGTCTGAAGTCAAGCCCTGAAGAGAAATTAACCTATCTCTACAGGTAGAATTACTGCTTTCTTTTTTTTTTTTTTAAATTCTGAATTCTTTTTTTTTTTTTTAAAGATTTATTTATTTACTTATACAAGCACTGGGTACAGTCAGAAGCGCGGGAGGGTGAGAGAATTCACCAGAGCCAGAGCGGGGAGCAGAGCAGGCAGAAGGACCCAAGTACACTGCTGAGGGGAGTAGCGGGCGGCAGGAGAGGTCTGCGTGCCATGTGGAACCCTCCTCCGGTGGCCGGGGAGCAGCCAGGGATCGAACCGGCGCCGCAGAGGCTGCGGGCAGCTTTGCAACCCAGCGCTCCACAGCTGCGCCACCGGGGAGGCCCTCTTTTTTTTTTTAAAAAAAAGATTTATTTATTTATACAAGAACCGGGGTACAGATATGCGGGAGGGTGAGAGGATTCATTAGAGACAGAGCGGGGAACAGAACAGACAGACTGACTGAAATACACTGCTGAGGGGAGCAGTGGGCGAGACAAGAGAGGTCTGCCATGCCATTTGGGTCTCTCCATGTCCAGCAGGGATCGAACCGGTGTCCAATGTCCAATTACTGCTTTCTTTTTTTTTTTTTTTTTTTTTGTTTCCCTCACCGGTGGCCGGGGATCAAACTGGCAACCCAGCGCTCAACCGCTGTGTCACCAGGGGAGGCCCAATTACTGCTTTCTTAAGGTAGAAATTATGTGTCAAATTAGTGCCTACAATTGGATATGAAGTCTTCACTTCCAAAAAAATAGAAAATGGAAGTAAAAAGCACTAGGGCATTTCTTGTAAGATATTAAAAATGAAGGATGTAATAAGAAAGTTAAAGATAAGTCAGAGCTGTTAATTTTTTAGAGGACTCCACATCACTTTAGTTTTGTTTTACTTTATTTTCCATACAAACTAATAATATCAAGGGAAAGCAGCAAAATATTTCAATTGGCGCTAATGATTTAATGGTGGGGCAGGAAGGAGCGATTTGTTTGGGATTACATCCCGTTTTTTCCATTCACTAATTATGTGGCCTTGGACAAGTCACATCATCATTCCAGGTCATTTTCCCCATATATGAAATGACAAAGTTTGATCCATGTTCTTGAGAGTTGTAAAACTTATCACAGATCATATGTACAAAATTCAGTCTCACCTATAACCCACTTCCCTCTTCTCCTTCCCTCATGTACCTCTCTATGAATGTAAATTACTAGTTGGTAAAAATCCAGACTGAAAGCAGAAGAGATACTTGTATCTTTAACAGCTAGTAAGTTTCATGGAGAACAGGGACTCAGATACACTGACATCTCACATAAGAAGTCAGTAGCCCTCCCCAGAGCATTTGGCTGTGCTTGGAAAGCAAAAGTTGTGTATCCTTTGTCTCTAGACTTCCCATATGCTATATGTGTTGATGTTGTGATGATTATGACTGATCAAGAGTCCAACAAGGTAGTGGCAGAGTGAAGATGCCAGGCTTGCCTTCTCCACATATTCTCAACCAAATTATAACTATACGAAAACAATCCCTGAAAGAGACATAGTTGACTGTCACCTGTTTCAAGAGTGATAGCATGATGGAAGAGGGTTTAAAAAAAACTGTTTAAAGTAATACAGAGTAGTACAGATTACAAGGGGGGTGGTGACTGCTGTTAAGCAGACTTAACACCTCTGCTGTTAAGTCAAGACACTTGCCACACTTCAGCCTTTAAAAACCTGGCACTATCATGGACAAAAAGGTGCACGCAGTCAGCATGCAGGACAGAGGGTGTACCGCTGGAGAACAATGGAAGTAAGGGTTCCACTTGAGCTTAAGCCTATGATTTCCAAACAAGAACAGTTGGCACCCAAATTGACTGGAAGAGCCAGATCAATCACCTGTGTCTCCTCATAAATGAAGCTATTATTTGCTTCCCGCAGCTGTGATTTGAGGAACAGGTGTCTTACCCCCACCCTAAGCTAATACTGAGACAACTGAAAGTTTTCACTAACCAGAGTTTGAAACAACTGGAAATGAACAACAGGAGGAAGCAGCCCAGGATAGGCTCTGTACTCAGTACTGACTGATGCTATATGTATTAATGTTGTAATGACCCCAACTGGTCAACAGGTGGGGGCAAAGGAGATGGAACAATTTTAAAATTATCCGTCTAAAGCAACCACTTTTTTTTGCAAGTACCCAGATAAAAAGGCATGCAAAAGGCAAGGACAGATAAAAACATGGCTGTGCCAAGAGGCCCAGCCAAAATTAAAATTAACAAGTGGTCCTCATAATATACCTCTGAAAAGTGGTTTAAATATAGGTGCTATATTTAAGCCAATTGGAGAAGTTTATACACTGCATGACCAGAAAGCTTGCCAGAAATTTTCCAACCAGACATACCCATTCTGCCTTGCCAAGAGCTTTATAACCTACCCCCTTTTTTGCTATCAATGGAATTGGATGCTTATATTATTGTCATGTAGATTCCTCACCCACCCCCAAATTCATGTTATAATTATGTGCATTTGGCTTGTGTGCTAAGTTAAATCTTCCTGATTCATTGAAGTTAGCATTTTAAAGGTATAAACCTAATGTGAAACAGCACAGTCCCTGCTCCACCTATTATCTGAACATCCCTTCCAAAAATACCTTAGAGAAATTTGCATTCTTGTGTATTTCAGCATTTATGTTTTTAACAGTGAAACACTGGATATAATTAAAATATTCATCAACAATGAAGTGGATCAATAAATGAAATACTACACGTAGTTCAAGTGGATGCATTCAATCTACATTTTTCAATATAGAAAAAAATGAGTGAAAAAACAGATATATAGGCTATGACCTGAATTATGAAATTAATCTTTTTAAATATCATAAACTTGTTTTTTTTTTCCTGGGAGGAGGAATGGGAAAAGTGATTCAAAAGGAGTTCAAGAGAGAAAATAAGACAACTAATAATTCAAATCAAATTGTAATATTTGTAAACAACTACTAAAATAAGAAAAGTACAAAAAAATTTCAACATTCTTCTAACATTCTTCTAACAAGCAATATCATTCTATTATCCAGTATCTGTTTCTAAACTCATGAATTTAGCTGCTATTATGCCTGGTGTGTCATTTTGCACTTTTTTTAAAGGTCTTACTTTGAAAATTCAGTTTCTGCTTTATCATATTACTCTTTCAGAATATGTGCCATGAGGCTTAAACTGTATCAACCCAACTAATTATTTTTGGAACTCACTCGATTTTGTGTTTACTGAAATTTATATTTCTATGGAAACAAAAATGGACCCAAAACTGCACAATGGACCAGACTGTTTCAAACAAAGAACAAAGCCCCAGGAGAGAAAACAGACCACACAGAGCTAGCCATGTGGGAAGGGAATTCTAGACTCTGTATGTTTGTTGGGTGGAGAGGTTATAACAAGAAGTTTTATTGAAATAAGTGAATTGTCTGGATAATTTTGAAAAGAGGAATGCAAAGGACCAACTAATTGGTACTATGCTGTTCTGTATGTCAATGTTTATAAAGAGAAAAATCATATAAAGACTAGTGAGTGTGAGCAATAAAACAAAGGAAAGTGATGAGGGACATTTAAAAAGAGTGACTAGAGGGGCCCATGTAGACAGAGATGGAGGCCTGAGGATGTACTAAGGGCTTTCACTGAGGCAGAGAAGCAGATCGTGTGGAAAACCAACTGGGAGAACATGGTAAAAGGCAGATGAGAACATGAGAACATGGTCAGTTCAGTTCTAGGTGGAATACTGTGGTTTACATGGCAAGGATACTGTGGTTTACATGGCAAGGATAAACAGAGAAAGGCCCCCCAGAACAAAAGACAAATCCATTTTATTAATAGAGACAAAAGTTTTATGATAGTATATATGTGAAAGGAGAATCCTAGAATGAAATTGACTATGTAAATTGCCTCCTCGTATGCAGGTGGCCAATGCTATGAGGAAGTGACAGAAAAAGAATGTGAGGAACATGCTAGAGTTATCCAGCAAACAGAATAAGCATACAGAACTTAGTAGGCAAGGATTACAATATTTACAACTTAATAGAGTAACAAAATAGTCACTATAAATCTTAAACAGAGAATAGATATAACTGTAGACAGAAGAATCTTTGAAAACAGAAGTGGGCCGTAATTAATAAATTAATAAAGCATAGGATTCTAAGGATGATACAGAAATTATCAAATTGATCCGTTCTTGGTATGTGAAGGAGAGGATATACTGTTTTTATCTTTTCTTAGTACTTTTCAAAAAGAAAAGAGACCATTTGTCCTAATGTTTATTTCCATAAAGACTTTTAAAATATTTAGCAGGGCCTCCCTGGTGGCCTAGGGATTAAGTCTCAGAGCTATCACGGTTACCACCTGAATTAAATCAGGCCAGGGAGCTACCCCACATGTGGAGCAACGGACCTCTCCTGTTTCGCTGCTGCTCCCATTAGCAGTGTGTTCAGTAAATCTGCCTGTTCTGCACCCCACTCTGTCTCTGGTGAATCCTCCCATGCGCCCTTCCCCCACACCTCTGGCCTACACTCCAGTTCTTGTATGCAAAATAGTAAATTAAATACATACACAAAATATTTAGCATTAGAGGTAATTGAGTAAAGAATTTTCTTTCTAATTTCCACGTAGTTACTCTTGCTCATGAGATATCCAGGAGATTGTATTGTATTTTTTCCTTTAGGTTTCAGTACTACTATGTAAACCATAATAAAATAGCAATAAAATTATTTTCCTCAATCTGGAATCATCAGGTCTCTCTTGGGTAAATCAGAACTAAACAGTGCTCATGGGGTTCTTACATCATGCTTTCTAGTAGAGGTGTCATGGAATGGACAATGATTCCTTGATTTTTCTTGGCCCTGGAAAAATCTATTTATTTTAAATCCTCATGTTCAGAAATTCAACTAAGTATCCTCTGCAATAAAAAGGAATAAACTGCTGATAAGAAAAACCAGTCTAGATGAATCTTAAAACCATTATTCTGGGAATAAGAAGTCTGGCACAGATAGAATACAGACTCTATGAATTTATTTATGCCTAACTTCAGAAAGGATCTAGAATGACAAATCAGTAACTCAGGGTGAAGGAAAGGGTGTATTGCAAAGAGGCATGAGGAAACTTTTGGGGCTGATGGAAATGTTCTGTATCCTACTTGTATCAGTGGTTTTAGGATACATACATCTATCAAAACTCATGAAATGTGACACCCTCAAATGTGACACATCGATCTGATGGGAGAAACTCTTGGGTGCCTGCAGATTATTTTAAGTGGATATCATTTTTAAGTGGATATCCACTTTTAAGTGGATATCATTTTGTACTTGTTATCCCCAATTAACTTCTTTTGAAAAGTCAACTACATAATTATTTCAAAATAAAAAATTCAACTAAAGGTGTAATAGCAATAGATTAGATAAGGAAATTTTCCAATGGTCTGATCAAGAATCACTTTCTGCCTCCTAGTCAGAATTTGAAACATTGACACTTGGTATCTTGCTTTGAAAAGCCTAAGAAGTCCTTTGCATTTGGAATGTGTTTGGAAAGCAACATCTGAGCAGTGCCCTAATGACAGAATTTCCATCTGAACAAACAAACTGAAATCATAGGACATTAAGGAAGGGCTAGATCATTGGGATTCTTCCTCATTTTCTGGTTTCCTTAGAAACAGACAATCCTGTTTTGAGTCTGCTGCCAAGAGCTTATGTTCCCAGTCCGGCAGGAGCTCTCAGAGAGAGTCAATCTAGGAGAGTATGAACCTGTAGAGCCTACACATCTGGCCAAACAAGCAGTTGCTGTTCAGCAATAGGCAACTCATTATCACAATAGGCAACTCATTATCACAGCCCCACGATTCTCTCCTGCACATGCTGAAACTTTCTGTTTTAATGCCAGTAGCGAGGACACCAGTACAGACAAGGCAAGGCAATTAGCCAGGCAACCCTGCACATTTTTCTTATATGCAAAAGAGATGCTCAGAAAATGAGCACTCACCCCATGTACCCTAGGGGAAGAGCTAGAAGCGGTAGTAACTTTGGTGAAAAGATGTTTGACTGTTTTAAGGCAGTTCTGATTGGGAAAAAAAAAAATTTTTAATACTTACTATTTCCTACCTTTATATGACTTTAGGATTAAGCATACAGACTCAAGGGCCTTTACATGGCCTTACATTATCAACTATAAAATAGAGAGAACAGCACATACATAATAAGATTACAGTAAATGTTGAATAATATAAAATATGTTAAGTGCTCAGAATATTGCCTAATACACAGAGAGCACTACAGATATAACTATTAATTAGATAAGAAAATTCAACTTCTTATGCTGAAAACAACTGAGTTAAGAAGTAAGGTTATGGGCCTCCATGGTGGCGCAAGGGGTTAAGCACCACACTATGAAGCAATCCACAGCCTCTGTAGCACAAGTTCGAACCCTGGCCAGCCAGGGAGCAACCCACATGGTGCAGCAGACCTCTCCTGTCTCGCCTGCTGGTCCCCTCAGCAGTGTATTTCAGTCAATCTGCCTGTTCTGTTCCCCACTCTGTCTCTGGTGGATCCTCTCACCCGCCCCCCCGCTCCCCACATCTCTGGCCTGTAACCCAGCTCTTGTATGCATAAATAAATAAATCTTTTTTTTTTAAAGATTTATTTTTTTATTTTACATAAGAACTGGGGTACAGGCCAGATGTGTGGGAGGGTGAGAGGATTCACCAGAGACAGAATGGAGAACAGAACAGGCAGACTGATGAAATACACTGCTGAGGGGAGCAGCAGGCGCGACAGGAGAGGTCTGTCGTTCCACGTGGGACACTCGCCAACTGGCTGGGATTGAACTGGAGCTGCAGAGGCTGCGGACAGCTTCACAGCATGGCGCTCAACTGCCTGCACCACCTGGGGAGGCCCAATAAATACATCTTTAAAAAAAAAAATAAGGTTAATGTTGAGAAAAAAGAATTGGGGGAAGGGATAAAAGAAGCTAAAAAAAAATTCTGAAATAGGACCTGATTTTTTTTTTTTTTTTTTGCAGCCTATAGAAAACATTTGCTTGCCCTTTTCTCAGGAAAGCAAAGGAAATTAGTATTTATAAGAAAATCACTTCTTAATACTTAACACAGCAACCACTTTATCTCCAGAAGTTTCTCCTTGAGAAATATTGTGAAGAGGGATTGACTTTTGATTGTTTACCCTTGTGTTTTCTCAAGCAGCAAGACAAGGCTCTCAAACGCAGCTGAGCAACCATCACAGCTAATCACACCCTCAAATGCGACACATCGATCTGATGGGAGAAACTCTTGGGTGCCTGCAGATTATTTTAAACTGGGGAGGGGGGGGTCTTGTTAGCAACAAAGAAATAAGGAGGTAACTTTTTAAAAATTGCAAGTCTGTACTTCGCATGAGTAGCAGAATATGGCAATAGATGAGACAAAGAGCCAAAAATTATCCCTGCAACTATGGACTAGGAAGAGAGCAGTTTTGTACACATATAGCAGATTACAAGTTGACCACAAATTGAATATAAGTCAACAGTGTTCATGATTTCAGGATGTACAAACGAAAGTCTGAGGTATATGATTGGAAAAGAATCCTAAAATCCTCAGCAGCACTGACTCACAATAAGGTTAGGAATGCAAAACCAACAGAATGCACCTGGTCTGATACTTTGCATTCATCTGATGTAGACTATCAAGGGATTTTGGAAAGATTCTTATTTTCATTTCCAAGATGGATCTTTTCCTTTCATCTTTTTTACTTATTATCTGTCCTTATTGAATTTCTAACTAAGACATCTATATTACAATGAGAAATTTACCAACGCATTAGATACCTACCAGGCGATCCTGAATTTTATCTACAAGGTTTGTATCACTCAAGAGTAGAATGGGTTCATCGGATGCATCTCCAGATATCAAACGAAGTTTGGCTTCATTGACTACAGTGGAAAGCCCAATGGTGATAAGTAATATTCCTGCCTTTCTGGCATCTTCAGAAATATTTTCAACATCTGGATTCTTTGGATGGTCTTTGCCATCAGTCATCAGCAAAGCCACTTTCAAACCATCTTTACGCCCTTCTCTTTTAAGTAACCTAGTGGCATTCGAGATGGCATAATAAGAGAAGGTACCTTGCCCAATGAAATTCATAGACTTGACCTTCTGTTTAAAAGTCTGCAGATCCTTCCAAGAAGAAAATGGTGGATCAATTTGGACTGAACTGCTAAACTGAAGGGCTGCCAGTTTGATGTCATATTTCAAGGAGCGAGCCGGGGTCAATTGGAAAATCTTGTCACTCAAATTGTTCACAAAATCTTTCTGTTTATCAAAAAGATCAATTTTAGCACTTTCAGAGCTGTCCACAATGAAGACAATATCTATGAAGCAAGTGGAGTCTGAAATAAAACAAGTAAGTCGGGCACATTACTGATTCCTATTCATGAAATAATTTTGCATAAAGAGCCTTGATATGGTATTCTGTGTGTTTCTTTTGTTTAGTTTGGTTTGATTTTTTTGTTATTTTTGTTGTTTTGGAGAGGAGAACAAAGTGTGAAGAGAGGTACCTGGGAGAGAGGACTTAAATTGTAAAGAACTAAATCGCTTTCCAAATCTAAAATTTATTTTTCTCTTGTAAAATCATGCAAATCAAAAGTAAACAAATAAAATATCATATATTATGAGTATCTTCCCCAAATAAAACCTGCTTAAAGCGGGAGGGAAAGATGGTGCGTGATAACGTAACATTCAACTAACATTAGACAAAGTTGTCTAGAAGTAAATAACACTTGACCTATCTCGGTTGTGTGTCAAATTCATGAGCCTCTTCCCTTTTTGGTGTTTTTGCTGAATGTCTATACACTTCATAGCAGGTGTATAACTTGCTATACTCTCTCAGAAGTAGACAAGTTATATTGAACCCAGCTCTGTATATTACAAGTAAATTTGCCTATGGCCTCGAGTGTTCCACTTCAGCTGTGGGTCTCAGTTTCTATACTTATGAGTGTCATGCCTATTTTACAAGGTTACTGTGAGGATCAAATGAGACAATCAATGTACAAATGCTCTAAAAAACTCTGATGTTTTTAGGAATATGTGCTGTAAATATGTAAGGTATATTGTTATGTACAATTATATCAACACAGTATGTCACATATACATATATATACACTATATATATAGTATGTCATGTCATATATATATATATATATATATATATATATATATATATATGGCTTTGCTATTTACTTCAAATGAATTTTAGAAAAATTCATGTTAGTGTTTTAGCAAGCGAAAACTAATAGTTAAAAACAGTTACCCTGGAGGTCTTTTTTCCTCGTAAGTAAATTTGCCTTTGATCCTTTCTTTCTCTGTCCATATATTGTTGGACTCATAAAAGCTGGCAAAAGCAGGAGATGAAAGACAAAATGTCTGTTCCACATTATGGTAGATGGTGAAAAATCATCTGCCTTGTAGCACCTTTAATAGAAAAATCAGTTATAAGTAATTTCACAAAATATAGTGTTTACTGTTTTTAATTTCAAGCCAGTAGAAATGAAAATTAGCATGTGACTGGAGCAAAAGGCTTTTAACCTAAATAAATTGTGACACAACAACCAAACATTTATTAGTGACTATTTCAATACATTTAAATAATTACATTCAGAAGTCTGAGTTTCCCATTTTATTATGGGAAGCAGGTATCGGTGAGAGTAATTTAAAAACATTTCACTTTCACTCTGTATGATGACTAGAGGTCAATCACAGGGTCTGGGTTGACGTTTCCACGTTCTTCAGAGTGAATTTAGATTGCTATGTGGTAGTTGCATTCATTTTCATTACAATTCCTGATGATCCTAATATTTGGCCGAGGTTGTAGGGAATTACCACCATTTCAATCTTAACATTACACACAAAGTTTCAGTGAGTTCAGAGGCTAAGTCAAAAATTAAATTGTCTTTCTGTTCCCATAGAACCTTATTTCTCTATTCAACTCTTGCTTTAGAAACTTCCTCTCCACCAGAGATCCAGGCTGGCCTACAGTGCATATCCAATGAATCAGAAGGGTATGAGAGAAAAATTAATGGATTTGTGACGCATACTATTCTTCCAGTGTCTGCTTAATCAATGGGCAGAAATAGGACTTGAAATGAGGAAGCACCACTCTGAGTACCTCTGTGAGTCTATATTTCTGGGTAGATTAACAATGAAATATAGAATCCTGTATTTATATCTTCAGCCATCTTCATTACTCAGTATGCCCATCTATACACCAAATGTTTTCTAAACCCACATATTTCCTTGACAAAAAAAGACCAATGTGTGACCTGCTCAGTATATCCAAGAGTGGAAAGAAGAAAGCTTATTTTGAACCAATGTTCTATGTGATTCAAAAATGCTTGTCTCCTCAAACTACGTTGACTTTCATAAGTTCTGGAAAGGCATCGCATTTTCCTCTGGCAACTTGCCTTGAGGAAATGGGATTTGGGAAATTATGAGCATAGTTTTTCCAGGTTCTGAATAGGGAGTGGAAATACAGCAAAGGCCATGAGGAGTGAGATGAGTGACTGATTTCTTTCATACATGCCAGATGGAGAAACCCCCAAGGGAAGCAAAGTTGTTAGGTTGGGGCTGGACCAATGGAGGCTCCATGCCATAGTCTGTTCCTCCAATAGCTTCATCTAGCTGGAAGTTTAGTAAATTGACCTGAATCAGTATGACCAAACATCTCTATTGGCAAGTGCATCAAGTGCAATTGGCCAAATGCCAACTGTCTTTCAGACCAGGTTTGCTGAGTTGTGAAGACAGCTGTGTTTTAAGAGAGAAAAATAGAACAAGAGCAAGAAGTGTGCTAAGGAAATAGGACACACAGGATATTCCTTCCCAAGTAATCCCATTGCTAATCAAGTTTAACTCTGAAGATTAGCATAAGGATAAATTTATGTAGCTGGGATTACATTTTCAGAGGAGGGGAAAGGAATAACATATTCCATGCCCCTCTTATTTACATACAATTTTTCTTTTTTTGTTGAACCTATGCCATAGAGAATTTCTCAAAGTTATGGAAATAAGAGACTGAGAATTAAATTTCATTGAAAGCAAGAAAGATTTTATAAGCTACAAGATTAAGGCAACTCTTCAAAAACTTAGTTAAGGTGATTCCCATGTAGGATCCTGAGGGAAATAAAACCTTCTCATTTGTAGGCCTCGTTTTGGCATTGGAAATGCTGGCTTTAAATACTGATCTTTCTATTAGCTGCTCATACAGTTTTCTTGGCATTTAATTATGAATTCTAACCTGAGCCCCTATATGTACAAAATCCATGGGAATGACTTGTTAATTAGTAATAATTTCATATTTTATTGTTATTTGCCCTGACATTCTTTAAAGTCTAGCTTCCAAACCAAAGTCTTGTTATTCCTTCTTGTTTTCCTGTATTTAGCCATAAGGCATCCATACCCTTTCCTACTTTTCTTTTCCAGTTTTTTCAGTTATACTACCTTCCTGAAATTCTTTTCTTCTTTATTTGGCGTCTTAAGATCCCCCTTATTTCTGATCACTCTTGCCATGTTCGCTTTTGCATCCATTTTTCACCATTCTCTCATTTAGATATCATATAAAATAAAACAAGCTTCAGGAGGAAATGACATTGGTTAAGTGGAAGAAATATAAACTCCTTGTTTACTATAAGTTACCTGTTATAAATGCAGAAACAATGATTATCTTTTAACCAAATGTCATATTTTTGCCTAAAATTTCTTTTGGTAAATATCAGGTTCAATTAATCCAATCGACTTTGTATTTTATGATTTCTTCAAAAATGAAATGATCCCAGCAAAGCTTACCACTTTTATTCACAGGGTTTGCATCTCATTTGTTTCTACATAAAGATGATGAAATAAAGATTAAATAAAGACTTGATTCATTTGTTTCTACATAAATGATCAAATAAAGACTTGATTCAAACACCAAGCTAGCCCTCTAATAAAGTATTTGGCAATTGATGTTGAATCATAAAACCTTGCTCCAAATTGAGAAAAATGTCCTGAAAGACATTAATATCATTGTAATGCTATGTAGTAAATAGTAAATGGAAAATTAATTAACAATAACTTTAAAATAAAATTTTAAACTTCTACATTTTAACAATTACTCATAATTCTCATATTATTTTAAAGTAATAGCAGAGGATAAAAAGTTTTGATACACTTTCTTCACATAATAAGTATATAAACCATTTATATTCTAATTTCTAAATGGTTCTATCTCATTTCAAATGATTAAAACCAAACAGTTTTGGCTTACCTTATGAAGTCTGTCAAACAGGAATTAAAGAGTGGTTAAGCAAATATTAACAGCAAATACCATTATTTGGGGATGGAGCTGGGTATTTGATATTGTTCTCTTTTGTGGGAAATAGAAATTATCTTTGCTTTTCGATCTTCTGCAATCTTCTACTCATGTTTATTAGACAAAGTTAAAGCAAGAGTGGTCAGGCACTTGGCCAGTGTGCAAGATCTGGGTGGGATCAGAAAGTAAATTAAAGGAACAGTGTCTTTTCAGAATGAGACTGTTTTTCAGTCTGTTTGGAAAAAATAATTCGAGCAGATTTTTTACTTTCAGGCATTTATTGACAGCCTGCCTTTGTCTCTCATGCTATGTCCTTCTCTTTCTATTCCAACATTTCTTTCCCTGGATTATACTCCATAAGATACCGCTTCCAAGCAGTTTTATGACATAGCATCAATAATGCCAAGTTCTGATATAAAATTGGCTTTTCAAGAAAGGCAATTGTATTGATAATTACTGAAGCTAGATAATGAGCATATAAAAGTTTATTATTCTAGATTTTCTATAGCTGTGATTTGTTTTGTTATTTTGGCATTTAAACTAAGAAAATGTTTATTAAATATTAATTTACTATACAACATGCAAATTTTAAATGGACTTTATATCTTAATGCAAATATATATAAAGTGAGATTAGTGAAATTTTCCTGAAATGGTACACATTGAGAGTAAGATCTAAAATGCAGAAGCTTTTATGGTCATTGCTTATTTAATGGTTGCAAATGAGAGTAGCATTCTTAAAGTTGTATTTTTTTTTCTTATGTTATTTTTCCTCCCTCAGGTGTAATTTCCATAGTTTTCCCACCACAACATCACCAGTGAAATGCCACTATAGTCCCTTATGCTCTTCCCTGCCTTGTTTTGACCCCTCTCCCTCTGCCTCCCTTGCTATTTGCCTCAAATCTATGCTCATCTTACAAGTTTTATCTTTTTCCTGACCCTAAGTTCATTTTCCTGTTCCCCCTATAAATGAAACCATTTGATATTTTTCTTTCTCCTTCTGACTTATTGCTTAGCATAATCCTTTCTAGCTCCATCCATCCATGTTGCTGCAAATGGCATGAGTTTCTCTTTTTGACTGCTGAGTAGTATTCCATTGTGTATATATGCCACATTTTCTTGATCCAGTCATCTGTGTTGGGGCATTTAAATTTTTTCCATATCTTAGCTAATGTAAATAGTGCTACAATAAATAGAGGAGTATAGGTTTCCTTTTGAATTAGTGTTTTTGTGTCCTAGTAGATTCCTAGGAATGAGATCACTGGATCATAAGGTTGATCTATTTTTAGTGTTTTGAGGGTCTTCCATACTATAGCTATGATTTTTTTTTTTATTTTCATAAAGCTCGTATGATCACTGCAGTGGTTACATTCTCTCTTCCTATTTCCTGTCTTGTAGTTACCGTCCAGATTAAGTCAACATCTATTAATACAAAACAAGAAACCACTTGATCCCTAGACAACTGCCAGGTGGGTTTTCCTCTGGGCAGCCTTCGAGATCCTTCGAGATAAGAGTTTGGCAAGGCAATCAGAGAAAGAAATGTGTTGCTTAAAATCACCTTTGTTAGGAGAAAATGTTAAAATTATGGGCCTAATTATTGTAGCAATAATACTTTCCATTTCCAGAACACTTTACTAGGTGTTAGATACTGTACAAAGTCCTTCACACTCATTATGGTATATATAGCCCTCCAAAAGCACAACTGCCTTCTTATACTAAGTGCTAAAAGAATTCATGTTTTGTAGAAGAGGACATTGCAGGAGAGAGGAGTTCCCTAACTTGCCTGTTGTCACAGTAAAATTAGAAAATGCTAGAATGGTGTCTTATGTCCAATCTCTTTGATCCCTAATGCTGCTTATAACAAGTTGAGCGTCATTAAATGAAGTACTCATGTGAATGTTCCTGTTTTCACTCTCTCCTCATCACAAAACAGTTTTTGAAGAAATGAAGAAATTTTATGGGGTTTTGGAAAAAATGAAGAAGAGACAGTTGGTATATTGCAGAATACACCATGGAAATTTCCAGGAAACTACCACATAGGTGCCTTAAATATTAGGCCCACTTTTCTCTTTTGTGCAATGAAGATCAAGGGACAAGGAAATGGCCTCTTTATTGTTTTCCAGATGATCAGTGCTATTTCCTGGGTTAGAGTAATAATTCACAGAATAACAATACCTCTAAGAAATAAAAAGGCAACCGTGAGGGGAGTTTCTAACTTAGAACTATTCTGATCGACATTCGGGGGAGGATGGAATCCTCTGCTTATTCATCCATTTGTCTCCATTCTCCCAAATCAATTTGGGTAATCCAAGTTCAAGGCTTGCCACAGCTTATTCCAGGTGTAGCAGTCAGCTCTCAGTTGGGTAGATGACTCAAAAGAAAATCGTACATTCTGTCCACTTACATAAGGCAATTAGCTTTGCACCCAAAGAAACAATGTGTCATGGCTAAAGACTGCAGTCTTCATCTAGTGAGTGGTCTTGAGTTAGTGTGCCATGGAACACAGACTAAATAAGAGGGTGCAGATGATGAGGGTGATAGGAAAAAGATAACTTGGAGCCCACACCCTTCTGACCATTGTTCTATAGCAAAGTCTGTATAGCTACACACACACACAACACACACCCCTCATCCTAGACTTTAATTAGAACCCTCCCCCCCCATCCCCTACAAATGCCATCACTACTGAAATGTAGATCTTGGCCCTGGAACCACCTTATTTAGTCTGTGTCCCATGGCACACTAACTCAAGACCACTCAAGAAGAAATTCACTATTTTTTTCTACATGAGATGAGCGTATATATGTGTTGAATGAATGATTACTAGCAGTACTTTTTAAGTGTTTATTAATCACTTGAGAAACATGAACCAACAAATCTCCTACAGAGTACTACTAGATAGGAAATGCTTTTTAACTTTTTCAAGTATTTTTAATACTCTACCGGAGTAGAATTGATATTGGCTTTATTTGTTTTGATTCCAGGGCCAACGTCTACATTTCAGTAGTGATGGTATTTTGGGGGGGGGATTCTAATTAAAGTCTAGGATGAGGGGTGTGTGTTGTGTGTGTGTGTGTGTGTAGCTATACAGAAAAGAAGTTTTATTTTTAATGTTTTTTATGTTTTTAATTTTTTATGTTTTTTAATTTTTAATGTTTTTTTTTTCCTACCCATAACTAAATAGAGCTTAAGGAAAGTTTTATCTGTATGAAGTTCTTTTTATTATTTAATTTATTTTCTGCATAGAAGAACTGGGGTGTAGGCCAGTGGTGCAGGGGGTAAGACAATTCACCAGAGGCAGAATGGGAAGCAGAACAGGCAGATTGACTGAAATACAGTGCTAAGGGGAGCAGTGGGCAAGACAGGAGAGGTCTGCTGCACCATGTGGGTTAGCTCCCTGGCTAGTCGGGCATTGAACTCAGGTCACAACAGTGATAGTGCTGAGACTTAACTCCTAGGCCACCAGGGAGACCATTCACCAGGATGAAGGCAGTCTTTAGTCATGACATATTGTTTCTTTGGGTGCAAAGCTAATTGTATATGTCGACAGAATGCACGATTTTCTTTTGAGTCATCTACCCAACTGAGAGCTGACTGCTACACCTGGAGGTTCTATAAACACACATCAAAAGGCCAGTAACATATCAATTCAAAGTTCTACTTGTGAACCAAGACCAAGCTATAGTGGAATATTTCACAATCTTCTCTCAATTTCAGTCAACTTCCACACTGCTGATCCAAAGATGTAAAGAACGTTATCAACTGATAAGGGAGAAGTTGATAACTTTCTTAGCCAATTTGGAGAAATTTGCCAGTAAAGGTCCTCTTTCAATGTTTTCTAGCATAAAGTCTTTGTATACTAGCCTTTCTAACACTTTCCCCAAAGCTCTGAAGTTCCTGACACTTGTCTTCCCTCGTGCTAACAGGATGACTTGGACATTCTCTCCTGTCATTCACCAGTAAATGAGAAAAACACCAAAATGGTGTTGGTCCCATTTCTCAACCAAAGGAAGAAATTAAAAGCATTCCAAGATTACAGACAAGTGAAAATTATCATTGGTAATAAAATGTAGAAAATGTGACATTTCTTTTTTTTTTTTTAATTATTTATTTATTTGGGGTCTCCCTGGTGGCGCAGGCAGTTGAGCGCAGCACTGTGAAGCTGTCCGCAGCCTCTGCAGTGCCGGTTCAATCCCCGTCGGCGGTGCAGATATCCACATGGTGGGACAGACCTCTCCTGTCTTGCCTGCTGCTCCCCTTAGCAGTATATTTCATCAGTCTGCCTGTTCTGTTCCCTGCTCTGTCTCTGGTGAGTCCTCTCAACCTCCCACACATCTGACCTGTACTCCGGTTCTTGCATAAATAAATAAATCTTTTAAAAAAATAAAGAGAAATGTTTAAAAATTTATTTATTTATTCATATAAAATCTGGGGTACAGGCCAGAGGTGTGGGGGGTGAGAGGATTCACCAGAGACAGAGCGGGGAGCAGAACAGGCAGATAGACCAAAAACACAGCTGAGGATGGGCAAGACAGGAGAGGTCTGCTGCGTCATGTGGGTCAGCTTCCTGGCTGGCTGGGGATCTAACTCCTGTGGTGCTGCAGTGGCTGTGGATAGCTTCATAGTGCTGCAACTGCTCTTGCACCACCTGGGAGGCCCCAGTGTGGCATTTCTTAAACCTGGAACATTGTTACTGCAGGGCCTCTCCCCTCACCGCATGTTGATACATACAGTTGACATTTCCACATTCCTTCTACTCAGTTTTTCTACTGCTTAGTCCCTGATATGTCTTGCCACATTGTCTTGTTGAATTATTGTTATCATGTACGCAACAGCAGGGCCCAACACTACGGTGATAGCAGAAGTGCTCATGAGCCAATCTTACCACTGTTAAAAGTCTTCCTCTAAAGTTTCCCTTCAACATGGACTTTCCCCTTTCTGTTGTTTATTGTAAAATTACTTTATGTCCAAAAATCAGAAAAATCCTCAATTTTCCTTTCTAGAAAACATCTTTTTTCCCTTCTACTCTTTTGTGACTTGTTAAAACTACCCTCTTCCCAAGAACTGATCCTTCAGGAAACTGACAAATATAG